GATATAAGTTGTGGTTTATCATTTGATCTGAACTCCAGAATAATTTAGACGTGCCAGAACATCCCGATTGTTTATAGGTATTTGTACTCAAAAAGCCGTATTATATCACAAAGCGTTAGTATTTCCTTAAAATATGGTTTGGAAAAAAATGAACTGAAAGGGTTAAAAATCCATCTTGAAGATTTGTCATAACGGTTATGTGAAATTATTGATAGATAAAAGTCTGATGCGCAAAAAGTTTCGAGGAGTGTAAGAAAATACCAGGGATTTCGGGGAAGTTTCATGAATGAACTGTGGGATAAATAGGAAAATTCTGAGAAATTCTGCAAAATTTCGGGAACTTCAGGGAAGTTTCGAGGTGATTCTATCAGCTTCAGGGAAATTGCAGAAGGTCCTAGGAAGTCAAGATAATTCTAGAGATAACCAGACGACTTGAGGAAAATATGTAAAAAATTAAAGAAGCATGGTCTAGAGATCTTCACGGAAGCTCAGAGATCTTATCGGCAGTCTCAATTAATTCCGGATAGTCCAGAAATTCTGGGATCTTTTTGATTTTTTCCTTGATTTGTTTTCCTTTTATCTTCCAATCAGCGAATCCAAACACATAAAGCAACCAACGATACAGACAAAACGGTTGCTACGACTACCATGACAAACTCGCTCTGTAACAAAGCTCGATCCGAATGGTAGAAGGATAATGATATATTGCTTGCCTGCTTTGTTGCAATATACACGGATGAGGACATAGCTTGATATGAATCGGGAAAAGACATTCCCATTAACACACGTGTATCATCTTCGGCTTTACTTCGTGAAGCAGCTTGCCAACAATTTGCTCGTTTCCTTCTACCGCCCCGAATGAGTTGGGTCGCACGAGCTGCTTGTCATGAAAAAGAACGGTGAAGATTATATCATTATTGTTTTCCACTTCTGACATAGCGTTATTATTTGGTTCGTTGATCGCTTGTTGATTTGTCATTTGGAGATATTTTTGATTCCTTGCTTCCAATGCTATCGACGCCATGGCAGCTTCTACACCTTGACCCTACCTATCAACCCATCACAACTTATCGACCAACGGCTTTACTCTCTATCCAAAGAAAGGCGTATCAGAGATTTCATGCCTCAGAAAATCTCGACAGCACCGACTGGGATTGAACCCATGCCTTTTGGAGTGAGAGGCAGTTGTGCTTACCACTACACCACTGGAGCCGAAATGTTTACAGATCTGTAAAGGTTAAATTCTATAAATTAGGGCAGCTTCATAAACTTCGGGAACATTTAGTGAAACTTTCGAAAGTTGAAAGAAAGTTCCGGGAATTTCAAGGAAGCCCAGAGAACTCCTGCAGAATTTAGAAAACATCAGAATTATTTTGAAAACTTTAAAGAAGTCCAAAGTTTTTCAGGAAAGCTTGACGACAGTTTCATTTATATAAGTTCAGTACCAAGATTTTAAAGAAAATTGGGCAGTTTCAAGAACATCTGAACAGACCAAAGAAGTTTCTTAGAAACTCAGGGAATGTCCGAAAACTTCAGAAATGTACCGAGATCTTCAGGGATGTCCAAAGAACTTGTGTACCTATCTTGAGGCAAAGTTTCATCCAAATCAAATATGGCCATTTTTTCAATTGACTTTAAATTTTAAAATGGAATCTTTTTCAGTATTTTTTTCGAAAACTTGGACAATTTCACACATTTTTGTAGAAGTTGTCATTTTTCCTTTTTTTTTTTAAATTGGCAGAAAAAGTTTGGCCTTTCTCAAATGTTAGTCTTAAATGTTACAACTGCTCTGAAGTTCTTTGATCTTCCTTGAAGTATTCATGACGCATTTCGCGCCAAATCGAATCGAAGCTGGTAACACCCTCTCAGATTTCAATGATCTAAATAAGCACTTTTGCATAGGGTTAACTACCCCATTTCCGGCCTATTAAGCATAACCCGCACTTAGTCTTTCTTAATCTAGTTCAGTTTAGCACCAAACGGAATGTTACTATTACTGATGGCTTCCAAATTTATTTACCTTTCCGTACGTACCGTAAGATTTGATAAAGAGAAACCAATCGTTGAGATATTGTCAAAAGTCTAACACTGCTTCTTGACGCCAAACTCGACCTACGGATTTTAAACTCGGCCTAACGCATTGAAACGCAACTGAAATGCTAATGAATTCACTTCGGCCTATCGGATAAAGATAAAAATTGATTCGGTCGGAGCGCTTCTTTTGTTTTTGGGAATAATGGGTGCAAACCTTCATATCACGCGTTCTCATTGACTTCGTTCGGTAGATTGTTAGCTAAAGTATCGTACCAAACGCATAATTGACTTGTTAACTCTGATATCATGGATTTATTTGAAGTTTTCTGCTCGATAGGCCCAAAATGGGCGATTAGGCCGAAGTAGTTCTCTACCCTACTAAGTTTTTCAAAAATTTAGTAAATTTTAGTAAATTTTGGAAAAACTGAGTATGCAAAAGTGCTTATTTAGTCAAAGTCTACACATCCAGCAAATTTCATTGAAATCTGAGAGGGTGTTACCAGCTTCGATTCGATTTGGCGCGAAATGCGTCATGAGTACTTCAAGGAAGATCAAAGAACTTCAGAGCAGTTCCATTGAATAATTGCAGGAACTTTCAAGAAGCTCCGAGGAATTATGGAACATATGGGAAATGGATGTAATATCGGCCTAAGTGCACCTAATTTGGGCCCATACATAAATTCAGTAATCGACTAAATTTTCAATAACGACCAAAAATATTCATTATTAACGTCCCAATGACGCGTTCATCTAGACAAAATTGATAAATAGCAGATGGGACCAATCTTAGATCCATAGGCTAACATACAAGCCATTTCCCCTACCCGAAATTTTAGTAATTTTCCAAAAAAATCAAGAAAATTTTCAGGTCCTCAGGGAAGTTCTATGAGTATTTAAAAAATTACTGGCACGTCATGGAACTTGATAAAGCATCTTGAATATTTGGGGAACTTTATAAAGTAACGAAAACGTCAGACACGTCCAGTGAAGTTCAAAGAAGTTTAGAAATTTTAAGGGGGTTCCATGAGCATCAAGGAACTTTCGGAAACTTCAGGGAAATAACAGGAATTTTCTAGATCAAAGCTTAAGTTCTTTCAGTGGAAAATTGAGGGAAATTTTGTTAAGTTATGAGTTAAGTTCAAGGAAGTCTAGAGAAATTTGATGAAGTTCAGAGAACCTTAGGACAGTTATCAATTAGGATAAGAAACTTCGATTTTTTTTTTCAGTTTGGAATCTGACTTTCATTGGTACACTGGCAGTGTTGGCAGGAAAAATGATTTGTGGAATTGAATTCCAAACAACGATCTTTGGACAGCTATAATTTCTTTTTGTGATATTCTAGCACCGTACATCCTTCGGCAAAGTTTTAGGCCATAGTTGAACATGATTAATTGCATGGTTCAAGCAAAATTGTGGTCCCAAGGAATGATAATTCAAAAAAGTAGGATTTCCCATACCAATTTCCATACAAATTTCAAACGCAATGCGGAAAGCCGGGTTATACCCAAGTAACAATTTTGGTTTTATGATGGTTCTGTAGACCATAATTTAGACTTGTAGCATGCTTTAAAACCACAATAAAACTTGAAATGTTACTTGGGATAACCAATCGACCCCAAATTTTGCACAGCTGTTTGGGACTCCAAATGGAATAAAATTAAGCATTGTTCTGGAAAAAATGATCATGATGAGCCACCCTAATAGGTATAAAATTTCCTCCCAGCTCAGTTAAAAATGTGTTTTCCTAAATATACTCAACCTTATTTCTGTGATTTTTTGTGAAATTTTGCCACAAAGTTTTCGTCCAATTCCTTCTGCAAACATCAACCGATCCATTGCAGAGGGGTTTGATTTTAATTGGCTCTATTTGGGTTGGACTTGAATAGTCTGTGGTTTGGATTTTAATGTGGATTTGATTTGAATTTAGACATTGATTGGATTTGCATTAGATTAGGATATGACTTAGATTTAATTTAGATTGGATTTGGTTTGCATTGAATTTGGCTTCGATTTGCATTGGATCTGGATATGTTCTGCATTGAAGTTGGATTGTTTCAATTTCACAATTACTGACAGCGTGGCACCACTTTCTAACGACGAAAAGTGACAGCATTTAATAAAACAAACAGATAATTAATTATAAACTTCTGGGAAAAGTTTTAATACACTTTAGGTAAAAGATTCCAATTTTGTAAAAATCTAAATTTTTAAGTCTTCTGCAACCATGGCGTATTACGGAAATCAATCATGCAGTGTTCTCATTTCGGGTGTATTAATATCAAAATTTGACTAAATTTCCACTGAATAACAATCAACATGTTATAAATTGATTGCAATTTTTTGCATTCCTAACATTCAGTTCACATTTGCTCCATGATTCATTGACTACAGCAATACAGTTCGATGCGGTTCCTGTTTGCAACGCATATCGTTTTTTTACTCTTTTGATTTCAGCTGTAACGATAGCAAGGCGAAACTGCTGCCCTCATCTATTTCCCCAAAATTAGGTTTCGACCGGAATCAACAATAATATAACTGCTGACCAAAGGGTAAAAGCAATCTCCTTTTGTTTTCCCTCCCACTCCACCATCACCAGCTAGGCAGCACCCGTTCAATGGTCGTTGTCATCGTCATCCCGAGTATTGGAAATGGCGAACCACAGAGTCCGACTCTTCTGCTGGAATAGACTGCACATTGTTATGATTAAATTTACAATCATTCCCACAAGCTCGCCACCATCGCTTTTTGCGTATACAAAGGTGCCCACTCGATCACAGGGTTCTGGTGATTGAATGGGAAATGGAGAGCGGGTTGGTAGAGAAACCCTCCCTCTCGATGATAAACAAGCTCTCCAGTTCTCGGAAGCTCCAAAAGGCTCTCGAATGTGAATGTTGTCCATTTGGTTGGTTCTCTCCCTTTACCTACGGGCTAAATATATAGCAAACGAGCAACGGAAATATACTTACAGAGCACATTGACCACGATTTCCCTGCTGTCCGGTTGGCCGACCCGATTATCGGCGGTGCATTTATAATGTCCACTGGTGTGACGGTTGGCATGCGGCACCTCGAACACGGTTCCGGTTTTGTTCGGTTCACCGCTCGGTAGGACGTTGTTCTACGGGAAAACAGAGAAAACAGAAATGGTTTCAGTGTTAGTAGGTTTTCTCGATGCATCACGACGATGCATTCGCCAGAGCCGGGATCGGTTCCGGACTAGGCAGCTATTTGAACTTGACCGCATCCATACACACAAACTCGCCCACGCACGCACGTTTGGAATTTTCGGACAGAATGACCAAAGCCTGCCGGGTTGTCTGTCAGTCGACCTCAGGTCAGAGGCCTGGCAGGGGACGAATGGCCGAATGTCGGTCATGTAAAACGCGTCGGTATATTTTCGTGGTTTATGGAATTTTGTGGAATAAGCGAAAGGGAACGAGTAGGATTAGGCGGTCGATCGCAGGATGGTCCAAGGTGGGAGCATACGTGGTAGCTCCCGGGTGGGGGGAATACAAATTTTCCACCTGAGCAAATAAATTCGTTTCTGGTTGGATTGTTGACGGTTCGGTGGCGTAATCTGATCTCGTTGTGGGATTACTATGGTGGGAAGAATGAGAATCAGTTCAGGGGTGGCTTTCGGGGAATTTGTGATGGAATGTATTCCATAAATAAATGTTCCATGAGCTATTTGTGTGAAACTTATTAATCCTGGGGATAAGTTTTATTAATTATCAATTATTTAACGATTCAACGACATGAGAGGCTGGTAGAATTAGGGTGCCAATGTTTTTTTTTAACGGCCCATATAACAAATTTTCATACGTAAAATTCGGGCTCAATCGGACATAGTTTAGTGGTTTAAAGTTTGAACTTGTTTCAACTAAAAAATATCAAAAAGGAAATCGAAAATATTGTTTTATGCCATGCATGAAACGTCGAGAGTAACATGGGTTTTAAAACGAAAAAAAAAACAAAATTTCAAAAATTTATCTATGCTATGCTACGCTATGCTTTACTTCTCGCAGCTTGTTATTACTGGTCGATGTCCATTAAACTTGCCATTTGTGGTTTGTATGTGTTTTTCGATTCTTTGAAGTCAACGCTTTCGATGTCTACATGGGTTGCTTCTAATGCTTTTTTGGCTTCTTTATCTGCTATCCCTATGTGACTGGGAACCCAGCACACCACTACTTCTGTTCCCCTGCATCTGATTTGATTGTTTATCATAGTTACTTCATCTTTCCAATGGTTTTTAATTCTTCGATTTTCCAACGCAGATACCACACTCAGCGAATCCGTGCATATAATGTAGGCCCCCACTCGCTCTTGGCTTGCCACCCAGCTTAAGGCTTCCTTAATCGCTATACTTTCGGCACTAAATATACTACTAATGTCATTCACTCGTTTCCTTAGTATTGTATCCCTGACCACTACACTAAACCCGCATCTTCCGTCCTGTTTTGATCCATCCGTGTATATCGGCGTGTGGATTCTGTACTTGGTGTTCTTCATTTTTTTCAAATCAAGACCAACAATTGAAATGGCCTTAACTCCATTTTGTAAACAAACCTTGTAAGGTCATTTTCTCGCGAACCGAAGTCCGCAAAGGCAAACCAACGTAATGAACAGACAGGGGAAATTCTCCTCTACTCGATTGTGGTTTAGGTTTGCGAATGAAGGTTTCGGTTCGCGAGAAAATGGCCTTACAAGGTTTGTTTACAAAATGGAGTTAAGGCCATTTCAATTGTTGGTCTTGAAATGTTCGCTGCAGTTCTGTAGAGCTCGTCCCTTGTTTACAAAGCAAATGTAAACTTTAGTCAACCCGCATCGGTTTCCTTTCCCAGGGTGGACATTTTGCTCGAGTGAAAGTCCTCGTTGGTGGTAATACCAAGTTCAGTTCTTGAAGTACTCTGGTTCCCCTGATAGTCACGGTATTCGCTTCCCTAGCCGGTTCAGATCCCCAAATTTCACCAGAGCTATCGTCCTCGCCGCTCGAGGCATTTGAAGAACTCTCACTGTTGTTTTCTTCATTGTGAACTTCGTGATATCCACTCAATCTTGCTTTGCGTGCAACGAAAATTGCCGTCCGCTCTTCTAGTAATGTTCTTAAATCCGGTATTCCCGTCTCTACTTGTAAGCTAACGACGGGGCTCGTCCTAAAAGCTCCAGTCAATGCTCTAAGTCCCGAATTATGCGTCGTTTCAAGGTACTTCAAAGCACTTTCATCTAGTCCTGACAATATTGGAGCAGCGTAAAGTATTTTTTCTAAAACAGTAGCGCGATATATTTTAAGTAGAGTGTTCCTATCACCGCATCAAGCCCTAGCAGCAATGCTACGAATGAAGTTGATTCTTTGTTGACAGACAGCTTTCACTTCTTCAGCGTGTTTTCGAAATTTCATGAAGCAATCCAGTGTAATTCCCAAACATTTGGGGCTTGTGTTAAGAGGGATACCGATTCCGTTCAGGTGCAGTGTTCCTGAAAGACGGGGTTTACGTGAACGCGGATTATGAAAAACTACCGTTGCGCTCTTCTCTGCAGATATTGTATATCCTGTTTGGTACTGCCAATCTTCGATCTTCGTTAGCGCTGCTTGAAGTGTATCTCTGATGCTTTCAGAGCTTTCTCCAGTTGCAATGAGGATCACGTCATCTGCGTAGAAGGCATTTTACATCTGGTGGTAAGTATTGCATGATTGTATCGATCGCGATTAGGAACAGTGTTACACTGAGAATTGAGCCCTGGCATAATCCCGTCTCCATGCTCTTTTCGTTTGAAAGTGTGCCATTTACCAGCACGTTGAACGTTCTTCTTTCCAGCATTTTATGCAGGAACCGTAACATAGATCCATCAATTTCCCAATCTTTCAGTCTCTGCAGTATAAGTCTCCTCCAAGTCGTATCGTAAGCCTTTGTTACATCCTAAAACACAACCTGTGCGTATTTTTTCTTATTTAGTGACTACCTGATAGTTTCCTCGAGTACAGCTAAATGATCGACGGTTGTTCTACCTTTTCTAAACGCATACTGGTGCTTACTCAAGAGTTCATTAGACTCCAGAACGTGCACCAAGCGATTATTAACCATTCGTTCGAATGCTTTTCCGACGCAACTGTTTAAGTATATTGGGCGGTAGTTTCGTGGATTGACCCGTTCTCCTTTTCCTTTATATAAAGGAACCACAATGGAACGTGTCCACTCTATAGGAAATATGCCCTCAACCCATAATCTATTGTATGCTTCGAGTAACTGAGTCTTGCAATCTATTGGTAGATTAGCAATCATCGCGTAGTGCACTCCATCCGGTCCAGGCGACGAACCCTGTAGGCCTTCGAGGGCTTCTTCTAGCTCGTGATACTGAAATGTTTGATTATATTCAGAATCATTTTCCTCGTCGATTTGAAACTCCTCTGCTTCCGCTGCTTCTTTCCACTCTGCTTGATAGCTTGAAAGCTATCTCCAAGACAATTTGCTATACCGTTATCATCTATTACTGTTTCGCCATCGCACACTATTGCATTGACCATCTCGTTTTTATTTTTCCCTTGTATTAGTCGATATTTGCTCCACATTTCTTTTACTGGGGTTTGCACCGTGAAAGTATCAGCTAATGCTACCCAGCTCTTCTTTTTTGCATTGAATACAACATCACGAGCTGCTTCTCTAGCCTCACGAAACTGCTTGGCGAGTTGTTCTTTCTCCTCCAATCCGGAACTCGACGATTTTAATTTTCTTAGAGCCTTCCTTCGGTTTTTTATAGCTGCAGCCACTTCTTCATTCCACCATGGAACACATTTCTTTCCTAAAAATCCTTTTGTTTTTGGGATGAACCTTTCAGCTGATTTAAGGATTGCCCGAGTAATCTCTTGTATTTGCTCCTCCGCACCGTATTTTCGTTCAAATTTGATGTCAGTCTGATATGACGTTCAGTCGGCTTCTTCTATTTTCCACCTAGGAAAGGTTTTCCGTGGCCTTGTAGTTCCTGGAAAAGCTATAAAGGTCGGGGAGTGATCACTGCCATGGAAATCCTCGGATACGGTCCACTCCAATTGTCCTGCAAGGTCCGTGGAACTGATTGCAACATCGATGCAGGAAAATGATCCGTTCGAATGGTTCACATGCGTTGGTTCTCCGGTATTCAGTACTGCTAAGCTGTTCTCTTCGATAAACTCCATAACGATTCGTCCTCGCGAAGATATATCCCTGGATCCCCAAATAGTATGATGGGCATTCAAATCTCCCACTAATAGAACTGAGTTAGGTGTCTGGGTGATTATGTCCGAAAGATGGAGATTTCTTCTCTGGGTGGCAAGTAAACATTTACGACACGAACATTGAGTGGGGGACCTACCTTTACTATTATTACTTCCAGATTTGTGTCGAATTGGATTTCTTCAGCGTCGATTTCAGTTTTGACCGCCGTTAGTACTCCTCCTGCTGCTCGTCTGCCTCCTTCTCGTTGTCTGTGAAATATTCTGTAACCATTGATGGCTGGTGGTTTCCGTGCTGAACACATGCTCTCCTGCAAGCAAATGATGGCTGGTTGCTTCTCTTTTATAAGTATGTCCAGATCAGGTTTGCTAGTCCTTAGTCCTTGGATGAGATTGCGATCGGGTGGTTCTCGGCTGGTACCGTTTTGTTGGCAGAACGTCGAGGCGACTGACAGAGCACAGGTTGGGCTGTAACGTCCTCGCTCCCGTCCCCCGAATCGTCCTCTTCTCCAAGGAGAAGCGGGGAGGCTACTTTCTCTTCGCACTGCCCCAACCAACCTGCGGTGTTGCGTCGTCCTTGTGATGAGATTGGGATATCCATTGCGTTTGTAAGATTTCTACTGTCCATTGTATTATGTTGTTGATTATTCCGATATTCGTATCCGTGTTCGTTGCCAATGTCATTATTCAACGTTTTCATATTTGTTGAATTTATGTTTCTAGACATTTTTCAGTTTTGGTGGTCTTTCTCTCATAGTCCTTTGTTGGTCACCATTACTTTTGGCATTCTCTTTGTTTTGTTTCTCGGGTTGGCCAATTCGAGATAAGCTCCGGGATCGTATGGCTGTTACTTCCGAGTTTTGCTTCTTACGTTCGTTCCTGCGTCTTCTGGCTGCTTCATTACCTTC